AAAAACGCAAAAACCCGCATCTAAAATAGTATAATAGAAGCCAAGTTTTTCACAGTAAGCCTTAATCCTGTCTCTCTCCCCCGCGGGGGGAATATCGAAAAATCCCTTCTTAGTGTACATTCTGTTGACGTACTCTATTAAAACGCAATCAAAAACGGAAAAAACCGCATCTAAAATAGTATAAATAGAAGCAGAGTTCTTTACGGTAACCTTCCCCGTAACGCTTACCGTAAAGAACTGTCCATCCCCCATGTTTAATGGAATAATATACAGCCTATGTCCACCCTAACGTTCCATTCTAAATATTGGTGAAAGAATTTTTGAAATCGGATGAGTAGTTTCGGAGATTACCTGCTGCATACAAACTAACATACATACATTACATGGCATTATAATGGCCATGGATGGTCATAACATAAGCTTATATATACTGAAAGAAGAGATCGGACCAGATGTCCGTGTAGTGTAATTGGCAATGCATCTGCACAATAAGCAGGAGTTGCGGGTTCAAGTCCCACTCTGGGCTGATTCTTTTCTTCCAGTTAGTTCTAAATTTATTTAAAATTATTTAATTAAAATTATAATTATTAAATTTAGCATGAGATAGCACCTAATGCCTAACTCTAATACCAAATTATCTTAAAATTATTATAGCCACTTCTAGCCCATTAATTTGGCTTTGGTTGCTTTAATGTTTATCGGGTTAGCTGATGTTTGTTTATATATATGTAAATTTATACATTGATAAGTGAAAGATTTTTGGCATATTTATTAGTTCTCATTTGAAAATTCTGAAAATTAATGAAATCATGAACAAATCTATTAGCATAATACATATATAAATTTTTCTCTCATTACATATAAATATATTTTCCTAACATGCTAATTTTATAGTAATAAGTCAGCAAGTCCTAAAATTCAGCTGACAAGTAAAATATTGATTTTTTCTAATTGAAAACTTAACAAAAATTTTCAAGCTCTTATAATTAGAATTAAATGAATATTGTAATTATATTTTCATATGTTGTTAGAATTTTATTACACTTTTCACTTATTTTAAAATTTAAATAAGATTCTTTCAAAATAAATTATGCTTACCTTGCAATAATCTTGTTAACTTTGAATCTCTATAAGGGATATGAGAGCTTTCATTGCAAAGGGAGCTGATAACATTTCCAAGAGCTAATAAGCCTCTGTTAATATTGATTCCTAATTGATATTATAAAATAGGTAATTTAATATAAAACACTTATTGGAAAGCAAATAAATATCTATTACCTTCTTTTAGTCTCTCTCCTTGAGCACCTGTCTTCTTGGCTCTCTCAGAACCAGCCAGATCAACAAAATGAAATTTAGCATAAATAATATCATCTGTATCATTATTACACTGTTCTAAAGTTATTGTAAATATAGCATGGGACCTAGATGAATTAAAATTCATAGCAGTAGCTGCTGTAGTTCTAGTTAATGTTCCTGTTTCTAATAGTTGCATTGTTTCTTCCAATGAAGATGCTATTGTTTCAGTTAAACCTACAATCTAAAATTTACATTATAAGAAAATTTATTTTTATGTCACTTCAAAATTTGTTTCTTAAAAGAAGTAATATCTTTTTTTGGAAGTCGTACAATGAAAAGTCCGAAAATTTTGTCTTNCAGAAAAATACTTTGAGGCATAAAGCTGTCTTTATCATGAAAATTAATTAACTAAGGATTTTTTTTGCCCTGCCAGGGTGTGGCCGAGTTATCCGGAGTGCTGGGTTATCGAGTGCCGAGTTTGAGGCTCTACTGTATTATTATAAAATGGCAAAAGTCTTAATTTTGAGGATAGAGATAAATTTTATTAAAAATTGCAAATGCTAATAATGAATAAAATTTTCATTAAGTCCAACCCCACTTGAGACATGGCACATAACACCACTTTATCTCCTCACCCCTCAATCTTTAACCACCAAATTTAATAGCATCAATCCCCCTAATATACAAACTTCCCTGNTTCTGCATCAATATTAAGAAAATTGATAAAATTTCTGAAAGCTGATTGTATATGAACTTTTTACACAAAACTGAATGTGAATTACTATCATATTACAATAATTCACTTTTACTTACCATTTATGGTCAATAGTTTAAATCTCACTTATATGTGAGAGTTAAACTATTGACCATTAATGGCATCAATGTCTTGATTGTCTAGAAAGGAAAGTTATAATATGTTCCCCAAAGATTTTAATAAAACTGTATAAAGGTCTTGGTATGAATCTATACTGAGCAAAGGGAGAAAGAGCATGCTTCTCAAACATTTTCAAAAAAATAACAAGAGACTTAAAAGTTTTGTGAAACTTTTCTGTGAAGACCACATGACTTGCTATACATGCCTAATTTATATTTGAGATTGCTGGTTCATGTTTTAATAGTGAATTTCTTTTTCAAATCAATGTGATTTTTATTTAAAACTGTAAATCACATGGATTTATTCATTTTATCTATTTTATATTAAAAACAGGCACTTTCTTTCTTGGAAAAAGATTTTCAGTTAAAAATAAATTTAAAGATTCTTACATTTGTGGATTAAGATTATTATGAATAATTTGACTTTTTAAGCACATACAACTAGCTTCCAATATCACATTGATTGTTATAACTAATAACTTTTTTAAGTTATTTAATTGCTTAAAAACTTATAAGATGCTCAAGATTTTTTCAACTTCAAAACATTTGAGATGCAAACTTTTCCCTTCTGCTAATATAGGTTTATACTAAGGCTTATTCACATATACAGTTTTATTGACATTTCTGAGAATCGTGTCGTAATAATCTTACAAGATGAGGTTATGAGAAGTTTATTTTTATTTTATCAATTGTTTTTAAGTCTATAAAGTTTTTTAAAAACAAATACAATTCATGTCTTAAGTAAAATAATTTATTCTTACCTCATTAAAAATATTAAATTTATGTTTTAAATAAAATACATAGAAGTTTAACCTACAAAATATAAATTTATTTCAAGAATTATTTTAATCTTACCAATTGTTTTAGATGAGCTATTTCGGCACCATGAGAATCTATATTAATAATTGGTTTATTTTTTATTTTTCGTGCTCGATCAGCATATCTCAATGTATTAACTGTTTCATCTAAATTGAAATCAGCTGGACTTACACATGCTATCATGATAGTATGGCTATTACCACCAAGAGAATCTGTTTATAAAAAAATTAATTTATAAAAGTAAAGTAATATATATTTGTTAATTGTTGCTTATTTTAATAAAAAATTAATCTGATAATAGAAATGAATAAAATAATAACAGAAATAATCAGACAGAAGAGCAACTTGAAAATTATAGGGAAACACATCGAATCAGAGAAAGATTATGTAGAGAAAGATAAACAGTCTTTTATGTAAAAAAAAAAACTATATTACATATAAATGTACAAACAAATAAAAACACAGCAAAGTGGGTACTTGCAGCTAGTTATTTATAATATACAACATATATTGATATACCTAATATTAAATAAAAACCAACATTGAAATTAATTGTTTCTTAAAAAGATTTGTGATAAATTTATGGAATGAACTTAAATTGAGGGATTTAGAAACTAGAAATAAAACTGACCTTAGAACTGTACTTATGACAGAATGGAATAAAATTAGCCCTGAATATACTGCAAAACTGGTTCAGTTGATGCCAAAGAGATTAAAGACTGTACTACATTCTAAAGGAGAAATAACTAAATATTAAATTACTAAATTCTCTATTTTTGATAACTTTTTTATTTGTTCAAATACTAAATTGCAACACAAAACTTGTAGAAATAAATCTCAATTTCAATTTTTTAAAATAAGTTGTTATAAAGTAAAAATTAAAACTGTATTCATTTTTATAAAATTTGTGTAACAGTTAAATTATGTTTTTATGTTTACGCCTTCTTTTTACCGCTGTGAAAAATGCAATAATAATAAAATGTATATGTTGTAAAATTGGAAAACATTTATTGGTTGGAACAAAACGCAGATAAAACCATTCCTTTTCCGGTGCTAAATAAATGTTTCAGTGTGGTGTTATGTAAGATGACAAAGCGGATGTAAGTACTGTAAAATTATTTGATATGGGAAGAAATATTGTTCTTTTTTAACACAATACTTTTTAAAATTTTACAATATTTTCACTTTTGTTCCCCGCAGTGATCACAGAAATTAATCATGAAAACATTTTAAGCTATAAAAATATCATTCAGTAAAAGAAACAAAGTAATAAAGACGTATATATAAATCCAAAAGCTTTTCCTTTCACAGTCTCACAACAATTTCAAGGTGTTGGGTGTAAGCTCTTCTCTTAAAAAACAACTAAGGTAAATTTTATCGTCTTTGAAAATTTCAACTTAATAATGTGTCTTACTATCCTGAATTCCATTGTGCTGTGAGACACAACCAAAAATATTTTGGANATGTCTTAAGTAAAATAATTTATTCTTACCTCATTAAAAATATTAAATTTATGTTTTAAATAAAATACATAGAAGTTTAACCTACAAAATATAAATTTATTTCAAGAATTATTTTAATCTTACCAATTGTTTTAGATGAGCTATTTCGGCACCATGAGAATCTATATTAATAATTGGTTTATTTTTTATTTTTCGTGCTCGATCAGCATATCTCAATGTATTAACTGTTTCATCTAAATTGAAATCAGCTGGACTTACACATGCTATCATGATAGTATGGCTATTACCACCAAGAGAATCTGTTTATAAAAAAATTAATTTATAAAAGTAAAGTAATATATATTTGTTAATTGTTGCTTATTTTAATAAAAAATTAATCTGATAATAGAAATGAATAAAATAATATTAATAAATATAAGGATAAAAAATTTTAATTATTAATTCAATAAATGCTTAAAACAAAACAAATCAGAATGTTTCTGGGTATTGTGTTTAGAAATCTTAAATTCATTTCTACAAATGTTTAAAGTATCACTACTTTGTCACTATTAATAATTGTCTTAAGGACTAGATAAACTTCATTAAAATAAGATTGATATTTTTTGCTAAATAAACAATCTATTGATTCTCTGATGGACTTGAACTAAAGAAATATGTTTTTACCTTCAAGTTTGCAATATATTACAGTGGAGTATCAATTATTTGAAAGATCGACTTCTGAAATGAATACACACTGAAGATTTTATATAGCAATAATTGTTGGAAATATTCTGTTGACTCAGTATTGAGCTATCTTGTTAACAACATTAATGTAAAACAAAGCAAAATAAATAAGTTCTTTTAAAACTAAAATAACTTTTTAAGAACTTTAAGAATTTAATATTAAGTTCCATATCTAACATATGAATTATAAAAGATCTCAAACAGCCTGAGCGATTCAATGAAAATTTTAGAATGTTAGTGTATGTTTTCAATCATTTGGAAACTTTTAATCTAATTATAAACTTAATTTAAACATACATTTTAATAAATGAGGATTCATATTATCATCGTTGAATGTGATATGAAATGTTCTAAACACTAATATTTTGTTTATCATAATGATACAAAAAATAATGGTGTCTTTAAAGTTGTACAATTAATACTATAACACTCAGCTGGCCATCACTCATCACTCTACTTAGTGTACATTCTGTTGATGTACCCTATTAAAATGCAATCAAAAACGCAAAAACCCGTATCTAAAATAGTATAATAGAAGCCAAGTTTTTCACAGTAAGCCTTAATCCTGTCTCTCTCCCCCGCGGGGGGAATATCGAAAAATCCCTTCTTAGTGTACATTCTGTTGACGTACTCTATTAAAACGCAATCAAAAACGGAAAAAACCGCATCTAAAATAGTATAAATAGAAGCAGAGTTCTTTACGGTAACCTTCCCCGTAACGCTTACCGTAAAGAACTGTCCATCCCCCATGTTTAATGGAATAATATACAGCCTATGTCCACCCTAACGTTCCATTCTAAATATTGGTGAAAGAATTTTTGAAATCGGATGAGTAGTTTCGGAGATTACCTGCTGCATACAAACTAACATACATACATTACATGGCATTATAATGGCCATGGATGGTCATAACATAAGCTTATATATACTGAAAGAAGAGATCGGACCAGATGTCCGTGTAGTGTAATTGGCAATGCATCTGCACAATAAGCAGGAGTTGCGGGTTCAAGTCCCACTCTGGGCTGATTCTTTTCTTCCAGTTAGTTCTAAATTTATTTAAAATTATTTAATTAAAATTATAATTATTAAATTTAGCATGAGATAGCACCTAATGCCTAACTCTAATACCAAATTATCTTAAAATTATTATAGCCACTTCTAGCCCATTAATTTGGCTTTGGTTGCTTTAATGTTTATCGGGTTAGCTGATGTTTGTTTATATATATGTAAATTTATACATTGATAAGTGAAAGATTTTTGGCATATTTATTAGTTCTCATTTGAAAATTCTGAAAATTAATGAAATCATGAACAAATCTATTAGCATAATACATATATAAATTTTTCTCTCATTACATATAAATATATTTTCCTAACATGCTAATTTTATAGTAATAAGTCAGCAAGTCCTAAAATTCAGCTGACAAGTAAAATATTGATTTTTTCTAATTGAAAACTTAACAAAAATTTTCAAGCTCTTATAATTAGAATTAAATGAATATTGTAATTATATTTTCATATGTTGTTAGAATTTTATTACACTTTTCACTTATTTTAAAATTTAAATAAGATTCTTTCAAAATAAATTATGCTTACCTTGCAATAATCTTGTTAACTTTGAATCTCTATAAGGGATATGAGAGCTTTCATTGCAAAGGGAGCTGATAACATTTCCAAGAGCTAATAAGCCTCTGTTAATATTGATTCCTAATTGATATTATAAAATAGGTAATTTAATATAAAACACTTATTGGAAAGCAAATAAATATCTATTACCTTCTTTTAGTCTCTCTCCTTGAGCACCTGTCTTCTTGGCTCTCTCAGAACCAGCCAGATCAACAAAATGAAATTTAGCATAAATAATATCATCTGTATCATTATTACACTGTTCTAAAGTTATTGTAAATATAGCATGGGACCTAGATGAATTAAAATTCATAGCAGTAGCTGCTGTAGTTCTAGTTAATGTTCCTGTTTCTAATAGTTGCATTGTTTCTTCCAATGAAGATGCTATTGTTTCAGTTAAACCTACAATCTAAAATTTACATTATAAGAAAATTTATTTTTAATTTCAATTAATTAAAAAAAAAAACTTTTGGTACAATATTTATACAAATCAAAATTTGCATGTAAGATACTAATTCTTGTTAAAACATCAAGATTAGTATGTCTTACTCAGAACTAACTAATATTTCTGTACTTTGTTTTTCAATTATTTGATTTTCAAATAGTTTTTTTTTATTTAGTATATTTATTTATAATAAATATAACATTTCTTCAAAAATATTCAATTACATATTTAAATTTCAACATCCACTTTTATGTTACAAAAATCAATGTTTTATTTCTACATTAAAATTTTTTTCAAGTTCTTAGTCTATTGAAAAAAAATAAAATAAATAAAAAATAAAATACAGAAATAAAAACAATTTTACTCATAACTGAATCCTAAAACTTTACAATCTTAAATTCTGCAATTTTAGTGGACAAAGTTTTTCTCATATCAAAGATACTATATAAAAGCTTTTATAAATCAAATAAATTCATCATAAAGCATATCATTGATATTTTTCAAAATAAATATTTATACAAAATAATTAATCAAAACTAATTATTAAAGTGATTAATTATCAAAATGTAATAGAATACTTAATATATTTTAAACTTACTCTTATGCTACCATCAAAATTTTCCCTAACAGTTATACTATCTTTATCTTTGTTATTATTTAACAGATCAAAAATTTCTTCTTTGTAAATCTGAAATAAAATAGATATTTCAGTTAAAATAAGTTATAGAATACAATTAAAAAAAGTTAAGTATTTAACATTTTAATAAAGCTTTTTAAATTCTACTCATTCTATATAATATACTTTTATAGGTTTCAGCCCATTTCATCACTTGCACAAATTTAGACAAATAGATTATCAACAAATATACAAAAGCATCTAAATTTAAGGTGATTCTTTTTTAGATTAAGAGCATCTTATTTTATAAACATTTAAATATCACTTTTTTATATTTATAGATAAACTTCATATTATTTTGGTGAAAATATTGGATAAATATAAATAAAAATTATCAACCAAGAAATATTTAAAAATAAACATGGAAATAATATATTCACAAATACATGTATATAACCTATGTGAAAATACAATTAAAATGTATTTACTGTAATTTCCTGTGTGTAGACAACAAAAATTGCTATAACATAGCCTGCATCTACTTTCAAATTGATTTTAAAACAGATAACCCATGGGTTTCACACAAGAATTACAGTAATTTCTACCAGAGTAATAATTTTTTTTATGAAAACAGAATACTTTAAAAAACTTATAAGAGCATTACATAATTTTTGAATCAAATCAAAAAGTGACCATAATTTTATTAATCTTCTAAAAGGATGTGGTCATATGAATTCAAATTTATAACTGCCTGTTCCAAATGTGGATAATTTAATATTGGTCAGCCAATATTAGTTAAAAAATCTTTAAATGTTTTTATTTTTAATAAGAGGACAACAATAAAAAATCATTCTTACTGAAATGAACTTTTCTTTAGGCTTATTAAAAAAATAATAAATATTTTAAAATAATTATTTTTAATTTTTTACATAAAGTAATTGTGATGTATGTTTTGTGTTAGCACACTTTCCTGAAAATAGACTTAACACATAACAGAACGATCTCGAGAAAACAATTTGCAGAAAATTCTTTGTATTTATTTTACAATATACATTTTGAACATAACAGCTTCATCTAATTCTTAATACATGGATTCATTTTTAGGATTTATAGGCACATTTATATACATTGGTAATTTCATAATAAAAACCTAACAACAAATAATGGCACAACAAAACTTCACCAAATAGGAACATTTTAACCAAGACATAATTTTGAATGAAAATTTGTACAATTCAATATAATCTTCTTGTGAGGTTTTTATTATGAAACATGTAAAACGGCAAAACTATATTTGGAACAAGACTATGTCTTGGAGACTCACTACTAAGTGGAATCACTTTGATGCTCAAGGCGGGTCTCGTTCTCATTTTTCAATCTTCTTTGGTATCGCTGCTTTTGGGAGCGATTGTTCAAACTTTGCTGGCCATAACTACGAGGTCATCCACTGCACAAACAATATACAGTTTAACCCGATTATAATGTCATCAAATGTAATGACAACTCTAATATAATGTCAAATTTTTATCGGTTCCATGATTTTACTATACTAGATAATGTTAAAAAACCTACTTGTAATGACACCCTGTTTTAATGTCATATTTGAAGCACTCCCAAATTTACAAAATTAGATTACAAATTTTATTTAACATAGAAGAAACTACGTGTTCAATTCTAAGGTCATAGTTCACTTCTTAGAATAACTATGTATGATACTCTCCCCCACCTGACTTTGGTGGGGTGAGGTGGCTGTTTTGCCTGTTTGTAGAAGAGGGTCGCCATTTTGGATTTTATTTTGAGTCGATTCTCGGTCCCCTGACTACCTACGAGTCTGAATTTTTTTTATGCGCAAATGATTTGTGCACATAATACTCTGTGCCAAATATCAACTCTCAACATGTACTCCTTCATAACTCTATGCTGGTAATAAAAAATGGCAGTACGATTTTATAAACAAGACATAGTCTTGTCAATTACTAATGTATGTATATATATGCCTACAAATCCTAAAAATGGATCTATTTATTAAAACTGAAGAGGAACCTGTTATGTCCAAAAGTTATATTGTAAAATAAATACATAGAATTTTCTACAACTTGTGTCTCAAGATTATTTTGTTCCATATTTAATCCAGTGTGATAAGTCCATCTTTGGGAAAAATGTGCTAGTACAAAATATACAAAACAAGACAACAGATAAAAAGTGATCAGGAAAAGTAATTGGGAGTTAAATTTAAATCAAATTCAGTAATAATGTCTCATAATTTTACAATAACCATAATTAAAAGTTGTATTGATCCTAATTTTAATAAATTACAAAATTGGAAATTTATTGTTTTGTCTGTATTGATTAATATTGCTAAAGTAACTTTAACAACACACACAGTAACCCAATATACTTATAATGCCAAATTTTTTTTATTGGTTATTAGTCAGTCTTTATACAACCCAATAAAAATCCAGTAATCATTTGAAATTTTAGTAATATTTAATTTGTTTTGAATATAATTTTAAAAAATCTCACCTCTAAAAATGAAATTTTTACACTGCATTTAGCATCAGTGGTTTTATTGATGGTATTAAAAATATCTTTAACAGCACGTGGAATAATTCCTACATTTTCTTCACTTTCCAATGCAGAACTTGTACCCATTGTGTATGTTTTCCCTGAACCAGTTTGCCCATAAGCCAGAACAGTAACATTATAACCTAAAATAACAATTTTTAATCACTTATTTTAATTAGATAAATTATATCTAAATTATTTTATTTAAAAAAAAATACCTTTAAATAATTTATCTATTAATACTGATACAGATTTATCATATACATGTTGCTGTGAGACTTCTGGTGAAAAAACATAATCATAAGTAAAAGCTTTATCCACTCCGATGACAACTTGGGGTTCATTTGGAATAAATCGAATACATGACTGACATCCTTCAAGAATTTCTTTATTAATAAGAGGTCGGCAACGAAGGGCCACTTTTACTGGAATGACTTTATCTTCTTCAGGCATTACTGAAAAAACATTAAATATTAATAAATATTGCAATTGTTAAGACCAATAGAAAACTTACAATTCTTACAATAACAACAACTAGAGATACAATAACATTACTGGTAAACAGTTCACCAGTAATTGGGTTTAAAAGAAATGCATTGGTAAATATAACGGTAATTTGATCATTTTTGCCTATAAATTTGGTAAAAAAAATAGACATGTAATAATTTTTTGAAGCCAAATATTTATTTCTTTACAGATTCATATATATTTATATTTTTATACATATGTATATTAAAGATAGAAGAATCAAACATTTTATTTAAACCACAAAAGTAGCTTATATCCTTTATCTTTTAGATTATTACTTTACACTTTACAATTTTTAAAGTATCATATTACAGCATTATCTGAAGTTTGAAAATCTGCTTCTTAATCTGTAACACCTAGAGTGCAATAGCAATTTTAGTTGACAAAATTGGATACATTTATTTGAATGTGAGTGTTTGCACTGATTGCTTTTTAAACATGGTAACTAAAAATTTGCAACATGCTCTATTTTTTAGGCAATGAAACTTTTGCTTTTCAAAATAAGAAAATGGAATTCAATTGGCCAGAGCATTAAACAATTACTAGTGTATTCATTTTTTCCATTTTGAGTCAAAATTTAAAAATTACTGGTAATGTTTTGAAAATTTACCCTTTACCAATAATAAGTCAATAAATTTGAATCCTAACAACAATAATTCTCTTGTTAGTCACTTGTTGAAGTGAGAGTTTGCTATATAGTTCCAATGAACCATAAGCATAAGCCAGCAAACTTATGCTGGCATTGCTCTATAGGTCAGTAAGGTCACCTATTCCTGTAAGATCTATGAGGAGAAATAAGATAACCCACAAACAATGATTCAGAATTGGTGCCTGCTGAGCTGTGTTTGTTCCCTATGTCAGAGACGACTGATTTATAAACATCTGGCTTTAAGAATGTAAACATATCCACTTTTATAGATAGAAAATTGAAACGTTATTCATGGATTAGGCCAGGCATGGCTAACATACGGCCCGTGGGCCGGATCCAGCCTGTGTAATGAATTTATGTGACTCGTGATTAATCTTTCAATACTAGCTACTCAAGTACGAATAGCTCAATGAAAAATTCTGACACCTTAAAAAAAAAAGGTCAACTCCTCACTGTGCGTTTAGAGTTAACATAATGCTCCATTACAAATCTCTTAAGTACAGCATAGAATGTTAATAAAGCATGATAATGTGAAAAATGTATCTGTAATCTCTATGTACAATTTAGTCTCTACGGGGTGACACCACAATGAGATCTCAGACCACCTCAAAATCTTCCTAGGGCTGCCTCTGTTTCGGCCCGTGAAAAAATTTTCTTTCCAATTCGGCCCAGGGGCAAAAACTGTTGGCCACTCCTGGGTTAGGCAGAGAGACACATTCAAAAAATCTGCCACAATCTCACTTGGTAACCAGTTGCAAACATAGCACTGGTTGCCAAGTGAGACTCTGGCTATTGCATTACAAGCATAAAGGTATTCATTAACTCACATAAAACATGGATAACACTGATCTAGTCAAAGTGCTTCAGTAATAATCCAGTCAGTGACTACAAAAGCTGGGGAAACTATATGATTGGATAGAGAGGACTCAAGTGATGAATGAATTCATTCATCATACCATCTATACCAGGGGTGTCCAACCCACGGCCCAAGGCAAGCTCAAATGCGGCCCAATAAACGTGTAAACAAAATCGACAAATTTTTAATTTAATTTTATTTATTTATTTCAACGGCATAAACTCAATAAAAGAAGTTTCACGAAGCCGTAAACCTTTATACATATTTCATTTTTGAGTGGAAGGGAAATATTTTCAAATACTTGAAAAGTGTGAATGAGAAAGAAATACTAAATAAAGCTGGAGTTGACTCAAAAATATATAAACCCAAATTTGGGGAAAGGAGAGAAAGGCCAAAAGATAAAAAGTAGTGAGAAAGGTTAAATAGACTTTCTGTTAAGCAAATACGGACCTTTAATTTTCCAAGCTTCCTCACTTCTTTATCACTTGGGTTCTCACTTGGGTCTACAACCCTTTTCAGTCCCAACTCTAGCTTTATTTAGTATTCCTTCCAGCGTTGCATGATTTGGCTACTTTGCGCCAAAGTTGGCTACCCTTTTTTTAGTTTGGCGTAAAAAATATCATTTGGCGCATTGGCTACTTTTTGGGCTACATATAATTTATAAACACTGTATATAACTTGAATAAAAATGCACTTTAAAATTATGTTTTGTTATTTTTTTTTTATTAATTAGAGACCCAAATAATACAAATATTTGTGTTTTTCAAATAAATTTTTCTTTGTCTCCTTTATAATAAATGAATTTATCTATCTCTAAGTAAAAATTGAAAGTGTCTACAGAAGTAATTTTTTAAAATATCCTTTTTCATGATAAAGATTTAATACTTATTAATATTCTCTCTTGTGATTACTAAACCATCAAACGTATTTCTTCCAATTCTGCTTGGAAACTGACAGTCCAAATTATGAAATTTTCCACGATGTCCTACAAAAATTTACATTATTCAGTGTTTTGCCAAAATTTTGGTGCGCACTATAATCTAGACACATTAATCCTTAAATATTCTTGTATATTTAAGGATTGGGCCACAAGTATATATAATATACTTGTGGCCCAAAACTCCATGACATCTTCCAATGTGGCCCAGAGAAACAAAAAGGTTGAACACCCCTGATCTATACCATCATAAAACTACAAAGATACACGACAGCAAATAAATAAACATTATATGACAAATTCATATAAAAATATCCACATTTCAATGTTACAGAGCAGAGAAGAAAAGAATAATTATACACAACCACCTTATTCCACCAACAATGTTTGAACATATCAAACAAGTTGCAAAACAGTAATCAACACACTAAAACACTAGATCATAAGGAACTCCATGCAATACCTCACAACAATCAATCACTCATGATAATGTATACAGCATAAAATGCACAAATGAAAACAAATACAACAATTATAACAAGTAACATTATACATACAGTTAATAACTACAATACTAAATATACAAGATTAAACTTTTCAGACCACAAATATCCAAAATACACACATCACACACAACCTTACATTATCTATATCCCCTGTATAACATGGTACTTAGGTTCCAAAAAATGCTGTGTTGTACAAAACAAAGGACTACTAGTACAAAATGTAGGATTAAGTTACAAAAATTAGCAAAACCTTACTGTTCTTTTTTGTAATTAAGAGAAATACAGGATACAAAATCCGGAAAAATTACATATTTTTTCCAAACATATTTTTTATTGCAAAAAATGAAAAGGTTTACAAATTTTTTTTTAACCACATTGTTTGTAAGGCCATAAAGAATACATTTACTCAATATATCCCCCTCCTGCTTGAATGACCACCTCCATTCTTAGTCTGAAGCATGCACAGGTGCACTTTAATGTGTCATGGTCCATATCAGCAAATGCTGAATCAATAGCAGCTCTCAATGATGCGATGTTTGGATGTCTGGACTTGTTCATGATCCTTTCAACTACACTTCATACATAGAAGTTCAAAGGATTCAAATCTGGGCTGTTGGGAGGCCAAAATTCTTTTGACCAAAACATGTCGACATTGTCTGACAACCAATTTTGCACCAAATGACTCACTTTAATTGTGTAAGACTTGTAACACAGGTCCTCCTCAATGATTCTTTGCACAGTTTTCTCACTCATAGCAACAACCAATGACAATTTTTGGGTTGACTGACCTGGATCCTCAAAAATCAGCTCCTGAGCCCATTGAATGATTTCAGGCGTCCTGACAACATGCTCCTTCGAGTGAGTTTTGCTTTGTTTTAATTTCAAAAGGCGAGAGCTTAACTGTCCTGCCAGATATTCATCATAAAATTCCGATTTCCATCCAGGACCTCACAGTGTTTTTATTGTTTTTACATCTAACACTGGTTTCAGTTCATTTCCTAGAATGCTTTTGACCTTTTCCTGTAAAAGATTATTTCGCAGTGTAGAATTTTTAAAATATTTAACAATAGTACAAATACCTTTTACATTATCTACTAAATCATTAACATTTGTTAATTCAACTTCTGCATTTTCTTCAGCTTCATTGTTACTCTCGTCAGAAAAATAATTTTCAACATAATCAAATCATCTTGATCTCATATGTCAGAAATCTTTTTCTTTTTATAGAGTATGTTGCAAACAGTCAATTGTATAGTGTGATTCAAACACACATTATAAATATTAGGAGAATCTTGTTCAAATTTGATCATTACACTTGCACCATCACCAGTTATTCCAACTATTGCTTTTTAAATTTATATTAAATGTATATAGGGCCCCCTAAATTTACTCGGTCCTCATGAAGCTATTAACTGTGTATCTGTACACATATTAAAAATTCCAAGAAATCCCAGATTAAGCATTTCATTGCCAATTTCACACACATTAATATTTGTCTATTTTCACATTTTCATTATCATCCATTTGTCAAGCATGATGCCATTTCTTCGGATTTCGTTTAATTTTTCTTCTAAAAGCTATCATTTCAGTCTTCTTTCTTACATAAAAGTTATTGATTAAACTTATAACATTTCTTTAGGAAGTTTATAACCTGATTTTGTTAAACTTTCACAACTAACGCTAGATTTTGTGATTGCTCAAATTGATATATTATCAACAGCAGCCATTTCTGCAACAATTTGATCTAAAGATTTACTAATGATGAATTTGTCAAGAGTTTTAAATTGTTTGGCTGCAATATTTTCTTCTTTTTCATCTCAGGCTCATAAAGTAAGTTCATCTTTGGTTTTTAAATGTTTAATCATTACTGAAGTATTTTCATCTTTGTTGAATATTGTTGTTAAACATTGATTGCATTTATTACTATTTTTTATATTTGCACATTCTGTGAAATAGACCCACATCTTTGATGTCTTTGTCATATTGAGTTTACTTTTTATTGGCTATTATTTTTAATGTCTTTAATAATGACTACTTTAATCAATCCATAAAACTAAAGTGTGAATATATGAAAAAAATATTTTTATTATTTTTATTTATAACATAATAGTTCAATTAAGAGCCAATCAATACAAGTAAAGTTTATGAATTTNTGTACTGTAAATACAGTACGTACTTGTAAATTTATATATTTTAATATGATTTTATGTGCTTTAAACGCTTTTCTAGTGATATTACGACTTCAATATTTGTGGCGGACAGACGTAAAGTCGAATAAAATGACTTAAACTTGATTTTTATTTTTCCATATACTTTTTTGACAAACGACGTATAATTGGGAACGACGTAATTCGAAATGATGTAAGTCGAGGTATACCTGTACACAGAATGCTATACTGTTGTTTTCTAAAGTATTTTACAATGAAAATAAAAATTTTTTGTAGCATCATTCCTACACCTTTAACTGAAATTAATGTTTGTTTCAACTGCTCCAATATAGTTTAGAGATTTTCAACTTTTTCACATCTTTCTGGAAATGCTACTTTTGCATTTGCAACATTATTTGATGCAAGCCTTCAATTTCAAAGTGTAGCAATTGAAACAAAATGTTAGATTTGTTAAGAGGTATGCTAAGGATATTTGATCAATTCATGTTGTTTTAAAACTCACACTGCTGCTGGAATGAAATATATTTTTTACAGCTAAATTATTTAATGCATCTTTAACAGTGGATGAAATTAAAAGAATTCTAACATTTTCAACCCAGTTAACAGGCCATCCTCAATTGTAGACAAAAGTGAAATATGAAGTAAAAGTGTTAACTTGGTCAAAAACACAAGTATTCTTTTAACTTCATTCACACTTAAAGGTATTTTAATTAATTCAGCTGAATAACCAGTGGCTAGTTCACCATCATTTTTTTACATGTAAATACTTGAATAATGCTTTAACTGAAATCAGCACTATTTTGAGCACTATCTATCATCTGATGGTTGTATTATTTATTATGTGAATTCAGGAATGGAATTAATTTTTTCATTTGCCTAGTACATGACACAAAATTGTCAGTTAATTATATATCATAGCAAATTTTACAATTCTTATGCAAATGAAATGTGTTAAAATACATGTCAAAATGTAGGAATATCTTTTTTTAACAATTGAAATTCATATATCAATAGCTGAGGAAATTTAAACATTAAAAAAAACTATTAATTTTATCATGTGTCAGCTTGTTAGCTGCATGGAGATTAAGTTTTAGTATCAAAATTTGCTTTCATTATCTGTTTTGTTCACATTTATTCACATACATATTAAAAAGATTGTTTTATTTAAATTCTAATATATTGTATATAACAGTAACTGACACTTAATTTTGCTCAGTGTATCTCATTACATTAACTTTCTTCTTAAGTATCAGCTACTATGCCTAAACAACAGCATAAAGTTTATGTTAGGATGTGCTAGAACAAGAAATAACAGATGGAATAAAATAAGATGGAAACAATCATGACTAGTGCCATTGCATATATCTAAAAAAATGCTAAATTTCATATTATTCAGCATTTTGACACACAATAATGCATTTTATGAGTGTCCAGCTTTGGTATTCATAAAGTTTATCACTACTAGACATTCCACTTTCACTATCAGATCCATCAAAATTATAAAAAAAAAATATAATGTGATGAAATATATTAATCAAATCAGAAGTGAATTTTAGTAAATAAACCATTATGACATTGCTTTATAACCCTACATTATATTATAAAGCGGTATAAAACTTCAAAAAAGACTATTGCATTGTTTATTTTATTCTATTTATAGTTAACGATGAAATCAAGATCTCAAATACATAAAATGCTTTGACTGCTGTAAAGAGAATACTTTTGTACTTTGCTTTGGCCAATTTGAGGCAAATTTTTCTGGATATTGGCAATCTGAGGCAAATTTAACACGGAATACAACTAAACAAGACAACAACAAATTAAGACCGATACAAGACACATACGAATCTACTTATACGGTACGACAATATCTTATAATAATAAAGAAATTTTTACTGTCTGCATTAAACAAGTTTTTAATATAAAATTATGAATAACAAGCACAAGCACTTTTGACAAATTCAAAATTGTCTTCTTTGGGCAACGAACAACAGAATATATATACGTTACAACATTCTAATAAAACAATTAAAGAGGTATGACATACTAACCATTTTTTAAATTTAAAACGTGCCAACATTTTTTAACAAAGTGTAAAATACATTTCAGAAGCATGTAAATCAAACCATTAAGGAAATGTAAAAACACATGTTATATAGATCATCAATAGAATGCCATAACATGGTATAATAAACAATAAGACATACACATGTTAATATCATAGATAAATAAACAGAACGAAAAATAAATAAATAAAACGAATGAAAAATCTGAATATAAATATATAATATATTAAACAAACTACTATGCTCTCAAATGATGCATATGTAAAGGTATAAAAATTAATCATATTGAAAAATATAGATAAGAAAAAAACAAACGTAAGCAAAAGATGGACAAGGCAAATTGCAAGATTAGAAGATAATAGATTGATTTCCAAGAGTTACAAAATGGTACACAAGACATATCAAGTGAAAAATCAAGCAGACCACTATTAAGATAGGAGATCCATTGGTCAAAGTATTGGATAAAAACTGAAAAAGAAAGGTTCAGAAGAAAGAACACTGGAAAATTTGAAGCCTGGATCATTGGAGAATCTGATGAAAACAGAAATCTATCTTGAAAGAAAAATAATTTAGATACACAGAACAACAGATGTCAATGCTTAAGCTCTTCCTTGAATTTGCCAACGCCTGCATTCGATTCATGATCATTTAGTTAATTGGTGTAGAATATGATATACAGAATGATTGTACAGAGCAATCTGTACAATCAACACCGCTACTATCAATGTTAGACACTATCTGTTAAATTGTTTTTCTTAAGTATTAAAAATCCGTAATTTAAACTTAGAACATGAAAATTAATAATGTTTCATTAATGTAATCATATTGAAACATTAGTCAATGAAATTAGGCTTACTTACTTATAAATCGAATTCTTCACAACCAATTTTAAACATAACCGCACTTTTATAAACTCGTTCTTCATTGGACGATAAGAAATTCTTAGTGCGCAAGTGCAATTATGCACATAACGCCATCTGTTGCAAAATTTTAAATTTTCGTATTTTATTTTTTAATTTTAAAATTCCCGTTCGTTAATACATTTTTATCACTTGTTTTTTTTATCTAGCCCCGAAACGCTGACGCCCGGATGGCCGGGCGATTAGGGTGTTAAGGTGGCAGCCTACCGCTCTGCGGGTCTCGAGTTCGAATCCGAACGGGTCGAATAATCCCCAGGAATTTTTCGGGGGTGGTCCGTCCGGATATCGACCCCCATCCCGGTCACCCCATTGTGGGCTCAGCCGAACCCATAACGGGCCTGTTATAAGAGGCCCTCTTAGTGCCCATAGGGCAGAAAGAGTATAAAAAAAAGTATTCCGGGATTAGGGATGTCAGGTCTTACGTTTATCCCGTAAACGTTCTTCGTACATTTTACGGCTTACATTTTTATTTTGCCTGTAAGACGATTTCTTCATTGTTTCCCCCCTCTCGCATACATACACATTAAAATATTTTATTTTAAGACTCGAAATACTGTAATTACAACTAAAATATTCTAGATTTGAAAATGCTGTTGATAAACTGTATATTAAAATTGCAAGAATATGTTAACTTTGATGAGTAATGAGGAATTTTGTGTGTAGGAAGGTTTTATTATAGTGTTTAAATGATTAAGGCAATAATGTTGATAAGTAACAGTGCTTTGTTTCTAAAGAAAGTGTTAGAAACATATAAAATCATAGGGATTTTATTAAGTATTCCAGGCTCTAATAACGTTGTAAAAAGAGTTTTTTTTAGCAATAAAGAATAAATGGACAAAAGTAAGAAACAGAGCCATTCAGAGCTGATCAAAACAGAACTACAAATTGTACATAATTTTTATTTTACTTGTAAGCAATTTTACCAATTTTCAAAACTAGATGAAAAATTATTAAGAGCAACTAAATCATAAGGAAAATATCAGAAAGAGTAAATAACATGTAATTGTAAACAATATTTTATACAATGCAAAAAAACATGTTTCATCTGAGGTAAGAAATCTTTCTTTATTTTTCTAAAAAAATCCAGCAACCCTATTGTCTTTATTTCATAAAATAATGATTTAAATCAGGATCCCACCATTTTTATTTGCCGATCTTTTTCCGAAATAAGATTTAATTCATCAAATCCTTTTTATACCGATACAGAATAAAAGTAAACTATTAATAGGATAAAATAAAAAATCAAATAGAAATTCTTAATAGAGATCGGATGGATGCTCGATTAAAGTGTTAATGATTTCGTTTTATTCGATTATGGCAACCCGACAAATGGTGATCTGCCGAAGGGAAAATGCCTCCTGGGCGGTTGGTCATTCAGGAAAAACTGGCTCCTGTTTACACGTTACTGAAGAAAACCCGGTAAACTCCATATGACCAGTCCGTTGGCGAGCTGGTTAGCGTGACCAGCTCAGAAAACTCCACGACTAATTTTCCAATTTTCAATTACCAGTGTTCACTGATTTTATCAACTTGGCCATTGGTCACAAGCTACAAGGACCAGATAGTCGACTTCTATAGACTTTATTGAGTGACAGGCCATACATAATCTGTGAGCTTGTATTTATTTATTTATTTCTTATATCCCTTGTATCTGAATTGTACGAATGTTCTATTGATTTAGAATGTTCTTCCCATTCTTTTTAATTTAAATTATATCCGTTACTTTTAATATGTTTTTCGAACGTTCTTTTTTATTTTTTTCATTTAAGTTTGATGTTCCAACTGAAGAAGGCCAAAACTTTTTTCTTTTCGGTTAATTAAAAATATATTATAAGAGTTATACAAGGCGCACTGCTTCTTTCGTTTGGTTACTTCTTCAGTTTTGTCAAATTATTTGAAATATGTATCAACTAGCTGTTACCCGCGACTTCGCCCGCGGAGGTTTTGCAATCAAACCCCATTTATATTCAGTATTTCAACAGCCATAGTAATTGTTATATAACATCTACCACTGAAAATGATGAGAATTTCTGAGAATCAAACGAACTGTTTTCAATTTGATCAATTTTCTGGAACGTTTACAATCGTTCTATAATCGAACCAATATGCAATAACAAATTCGAATTTAAAACGGTTCGAACATTTGGTTAAAAAATCGAAATATATCAAAATACTGTATTTATAATAATGTCTGAAATGTTATCAATTTAAGGGAAAGTATGGAATCAATTTCAAAAATCGTTCTTCAGGTTAAGCCTTAATGCTCTTCCTTTCCCCCCGCTGGAGAATTTCGAAAAATCTCTTCTTTGTGTGCATTCCCATGGCGTACCCTACTAAAACGCAGTCAAAAACAAAAAAATCGCATCTAAAATAGCACAGTAGAAGCCGTTCTTCCGGTTAAGCCTTAATGCTCTCCCTCTCCCCCGCTTGGGAAAAATCCCCTTAGTGTGCGTTTCCATGACGTACCCTAACTGTGAACCAAATTTCACCTCTTTAGGTTCAGCGGTTTGCTCTGGGCGATGATGAATCAGTCAGTGACTAAGTCAGTCAGTCAGGACAAGTAATTTTATATACTGTATTTAGATTTTTCTTATATTATTATTGTTGTTGTTATACTTTTAAATATAAAAATAAATTGTCTACCGATTCTAAAACAACTTTTTAAAAAAAAAAAAATCTATTTTCTTCCTGTAATTCCCAAGACGGCTTTTTTCTACACCAATCGTGTTAGGCTATCAGCTAGTGCGGAATGGGTCTGGTATATGTTGAGTTGGTATGTTGCTTGAAAGTTTTTCCAAAAACAGACATACGAAAATTAACGGTCAAAGAACAGCTTTAATACAATCTAACATAGAATCAGTACTTACACATAACGAGGTGAAAGAAAGACTGAAACAAAAAAGACTGTACTAGAAGTTTAAATATTTCGTATTTTCGCGTTATACACTCTTATTGGAAAATGTCGTGATGTCATCATACCCTGGTGGTCGAAAATCTACGATTACGATTTCTAATCTCAACAATATATCCAGAATAGACTTCTCTTGAAAAATTTCTCTGGTTACTCTCGCAGATTCGATTCTGGGACCCTTAGAATAATAGGCTGTTTAAACGACTAAACAGGCTCAGCTGACAATATATATGTTTAACTTCATGCTGTAGATGGCAGGCCCACCAGTGGCCAAGTGGTCTTCGTACCCTGAACACTGGGTAGTTCGGTTTTGGGTTCGCGCCTTGCTCGGACGAGTTGGCCACGTGGAAGTTTTCCGGATTTTCTCCTACGTCTATATAGCAGTGGCATGCCGTCATTGAAAGTGGTAGATGCGCCGCTTCCCTTGTATTTTCTAAAAAATAAATACATATTAATTTTACTTAAATGAAAATAATCTCACAATATTTTATTATAACCGCATTATGTATCTTATTACAAATTTCTATACTACATATGAAAAAAAAGATAAGATTGCTATTGTATATTCGAATATTAGTGGCGGAGTTGAAGCGCTGTATTGTCAGTTTCCAAAAAGCCAGATTCGCGCATGCACTTTACAGAGCACCAACCTCACCCGGTTTAGGTGGTGGAAGCCTAGGACCTTGGGTGGATGTTACACGTATACCGCATCCAATTCTATCCAGGACCGATTCTGGGCTGTTAGCCGCCCGCCTGCTAGATATTTGGTTGCCCTCGCCTCATTATGTGAATCATGAGTAGATTTATAACTTAACCCAACCGATAAGAATTTACTGGTATGTTTTTATGATAGTTCTGTATAGTTGACAGAAGTTTTTTTCCGCCACTAAAAGCGCTTCCGTCGATTTTTCTGCCAAACTCCACCGCCCTCCACTTACTTTGTCTCTTAACTCAGGTAATATCCCTCAGCGCCCTTCTCTCCGCATCCTCGGTCTTCATTTTTCGCATAACTTCACTTGGCACTCCCACGAGATTTTCTTAATAACCAAAGTGACTCGTGCCGGTTCCCTCCTCAAATTTTTTGCTTCTCGTAGTAACGGCGCCAGGAGAGCCGACCTCCTCCGCTTAATCTATACCGTCCTTAGCCCGATGGCGGAATTTGGCGCTCCTCTCCTGGAAGGGGCCCCCAACCACTATCCGTCGCATCGAAAAACCCGTTCACGAAGCCCTTCGCACAGCCTTGGGTGTGCCCAAGTCTACTCCGCTCTTATCTTTATATGCCGAGTCCGGCTATATTCCACTCCAGTCTAGACTGCGTCAGAAAGCTATATCGCACGCCATCACTCACCTCTCAAGAGGCCACTATAGCCCTCTCTACAAAATTTTCAGCACAGCCTCCAGTCTAGACTACTACCACTGGCGCCCTTTCCAAGTCCCGTATGCCTCTAGGGTTCTCTCGTTGATTCGTCAGGAAGGTCTACCCATCTCCTATCACCTATACCGTTCTTTCCAAGATTCCGCGGGGACACACACGTCCAGGAGGATAAGACTATGAACCAAGAACCTTTGTGACTTGAATTGCACGGTTTTATAGATTTCTTAACCGCAGTCGCCTCTCCATTGGTCTCTCATTGAAACAATTTGAAACCTAATGGAGGGCGCGGGAGAGGTCAACGTTGCAACTGACTATGATTCCTCTCTCTCGTCGAGTTTTCTCGACTTTATTCCTTTCCATTGTTTAAGGAATTTACAAAAAAATTTCCATTGTTCGATTGAGACATCTACTCCTTTCCATTCGTTCTGAAAAGGAGCACTTTAAATTTCCGATCGATATCCTTCATTCGGACCTCTTAGTCGACCCCTGTTCGGGTCATCATAAAATCGCCGCTATCATGTTGACTTACGATGTTAGTTCATATTACTTTACGATTATAACAATTGTTAAAGCAGAATCAAGCATGCAAATGCTTACAGTAGAATCAAAGTAAAAAACTTATATATCAAAAATTAACATGTTTGTGTTTTTTTCATAGTAGTTGATATACCGATATTTTGGTAATGTGCCATAGCATTGTGATTTTCAAATAAGGTACCGCTGTCCACTAGAGTGCCGCAATGACGCTTTTGGGTGCCACGAAATATAGCGATAAGCAGCATCATAAGGCTTTTTACATGTATAATTAATAGTTAGTATATATTCATATCTAATTAAAATTATAAATTATTTAATACTTTCGTGTTCATTTTATCGAAAATACTATATACAATTTAATCGAAACTTACATGTTTTTATATTACGTATTAAAGTATAAAGAAGTAGGAGTGCCGTAAAAAATTACCAAGTTAAAGTTGCAACTATTAGAAGAGATTTTTAATCTTTTTCTAATAGTTGCAACCTCAACCTTAACATACCTGCAACCTAAGCTAACTATCATAGCAGAAAAAACTTCGACATGAAAATTATACTCGTAGGCTACTACAGTCATAGGCTAATGCTGCTTATTCGGCAAATGATAATAAAGGCAGTAAAGATGTTGAGCATGCAATTGAAGGATGCATGCTCCATTTATATTGGATCTTCAAAAATTTTTGGCTCAGTACTTCTTTAGTAGAGCAGTTTTTACGTATAGAGCACGTGGACCACTTTATTGCAGCTTGAATGGCATCTGTTGACCTCGTAAGAGTACTTTAGTTTCTAAACTTTTAACAAATGTCAATCACAGAGAGTCATGTCAAGTGAATAGAGCGGATACTCAAAGATCTCCCAAACTAATTTCTGTAGTAGTGTTGTTACTACACAAGCAACAAGCATTATCGTGTAACAAAGAACGACTGTTCTTACACAAATAAAGTGCAGGTCGTAAGTGATGTTCAAGGAATTTCTTGAACAAAGTCGATTTCCATTGATAGATGCCATTCTAGCTGCATTATAGTGATACATGCTGCACCCGTGAAAACGTTGCTGCCAACGGAGTACTGTGCCTGTTAGACATTTGGTCGGAGATTACGTAAAGAGTCTGCAAAAACTTTCAAAGTGAAACCCACTTCATACTTTTTTATTTATTAGTGACAGTAAATTTCTACTAATGATCAGTAATGTCAATAATTATGGCATGACTCTCATATATTTTTATATACTTTCCGGTGATAATTTTGTGCATATGAGTTAATCATGCGGTTCTTTTGGATAGAAAAATTAATTTTTTAAAAACGTTCAAAGATTATGTTTAAAAAAGCGTGTTTTCATATGATTAATTAGTTCCATAATGACAAAGTACATATATTTACAGTAGAGTTTTCATTGTACTTGGAAGTAACCATCAGAGCGAGAGTTTTTTTTTTATCTTCCCTGCTGACAAACTTTCGTGGAAGCTGTCATTGCAAAATTTATATTACAATGAAGCACAAGTTGACACATCAGATTTTGTAACTTACTGTTAGTACTTTTTACTCTTTTTTAAAAGTGATATATAATTCGATATTGAAAATTTTAAAATAAAGATTAAATTTTTTGTTTGATTGATGTATTATCAATCAAACAGTTAGTAGTTTATGTAATTTCAAATAAATTAATGCTATAATAATTCTCAAAGATAATTTTAACTAAATAATGCAAACTTATTCACACTTCCTCAGACTATAAAATTTTATAACTTTAAATCCCACCCTTTTAAAAATCTTGTTAAATATCTGAACTTAATGATCGATCCGATTTATCAAAAATTGAATTATAAATTCATTGAATTAAAATTTCGTTTTATTATTGATTGACTGGAGTTATCAAAAATATTTTAAAGTGAAAATAGTTTTTATCATTTAAAAACAATAACTTCAAAAATTTTCCAAATAAGTAAATTATAGTTTTTGATACACAGTTGAATAATTAGTATCATGTCTAGTTGGCACGAATTCGTGAACATTTGGAAGGTTTTCGACTACGCCAACATCTAAAGCTGCTCTGGATAATTGCATGGGTTGGACTTGAATCCATTGTTCGGAGTCCGGATCGTAACATTCCACAGCAGAAGTGGTAAAAATTTCATTAAATCCTCCAATAATAAATATTAAGTTTTCTAACACCTAAATAAATGTTTTTACAAATATATATAATAGTAAACGGTATAAAAACTGTGAATAACTTCGAGTAATTTCTACAAGTTAATTATTTACTTACTGCAACTGCTGAATTACTTTTGCTAAGAAGCATATCTGGCAGAGAGTGCCATTTATTAGTGGGTGGATTATATTTTTCTCCATTAGCTAACCGCACGATTCCATTAAAACCTCCTAAGACATAAAGAGATCCATTATGACTGATGCAGCAACACCCGCTTCGATGATTCCTCATAGGTTCAATTATAGTCCATTGGTTTATCTCTGGATTATAATATTCTACCGAATTTAAAAATTCAGTTCCATTGAAACCTCCGACGATATAAATACATTCGTGCAATGTAGTTGCAGAAGCATCGCTTCTTCCCACGTTCATTGAATGGATAATCTCCCACTATAGTAATTATTTAAAAAAAAATTATTCAATATATTTAACACTGCCGAATGTATTTTGCTATTAACATTAACCTGGTTTGTTTCACAGTTATATTTTTCAGCTGATTTTTGTCTTTCAATTCCATTGTATCCTCCAAGAGCATATATAATTTTATTCAGTACTGCAACACTAAGGTAGCATCTACGTAAGAAAAAAGTTAATAAATATAAATAATAATATTGTATTATGTATACTACACTATAATATTTAGCTTAGTATATTAAATGTCAATAACTTTGAATTAAATATTCGTTAATAACCGAAATGATAACTTTTATTGTAAACACAATATTATATGGAAATGATACCTGCGTGAATACATAGGAGCAATTTCGGACCATATTAAGGTTTTAGTATCTAAGCAATAGCAAGTATTAAAGAATTCTGTTCCATCATATCCACCAATAACATAAATTTTATGATCTATCACAGTACATTTGTGATGAGCTCTGGGTCCAATAGAATTTTTTAATTTAACCTGTAAGAATTAAAGGAAAATAAGTATTTTAAATCAAATATGAGGACATTAACACCATAAAATTACCTCAGTCCAAGAATCAGTTTTGATGTCATAAGCTTCAACGAAATCAGAAGCGATATCCCCTAGCCATCCTCCAATGGCAAAAAGTATTTGATGCGGTAATCTTGGACGTTGAAAGTAATATTTAATGTCACATGACGTTTTGATATTCAGATCAAAGAGAAACTTTATAGTTTCAATGATAATTGGACGACACTTTTCATTTTTGCAAACATATTTATTATCTTTAACTTTTTCAATAAAATATTCGGGTTCCATAAGTCCAAATCGAACATAAGGTATTAAGTTCGTAATATGAGTGGTCCGATTATCAGGATCATGATCAATCCAGCGAATAACTGCTTCCCACACAATTTCTTCATTTCTAACATTTAAATTATCATTATTTAGAATTTTTGCGATTTCATTTACCGGTAAACTTAAATATTCAGCTTCTTTGATGACGTTGACGAAATTGACCAACAAATACCTATTATGAATAAATGAAATAATCAAGCATCATATAATTTCTATAATTAAAATAATAAATATATCGTATTTACTTTTTCGCCTCTTCTTCTAAATATTTACAATTGTATAATTTTGCATATCTTTTTATTGTTATGCAATTTTTTTTACTTATATTTTTTATGAGAAATTCGCAACACATCTTTTTCATTTTGACGATGATGAATTGATCAGCCGTCTTCAGGAGCTGATAAACATTATTGAAATGAATTTCGATGCACCGAGTGTAAGCATATTCAATGATAATGCTCAGTATCTCTGCTGATATGTCAGGAATAGTTATTTTTCTTCTAAAAACTTCATTGACAGGTCTTGCAAAAAGAGCTTCAAAGTAGGGACTGCAAGTTACCATTACTGACCGATGAACTTGAAATTCCCTTCCATCTTTGTTTGTCAATATGGCATCACAGAGTAGTCCTTGTTTTTTAAATGTATATAATATATCTAAAGGCATTAATTTTACATTATTCTGATGTTTCACTTTATATGCTAGTTCAGATTTTGCCATATGATTGGCGATGGGCGATGGAAAAAACAGATTTGTTAATCTCGTTAATTTTAACAAAAAGATATTCGATGTAATAAATGATTTAATTTATTATTTAAATTTTGGTATTGTTAAAATGCTACTTATTAGTTTAGTTTGTTCTTATTGATTTTTATAACTCATGATATTTTTGTTGTTCATTATCTCAATTATAAAATGTATTTGAATTATATTTTTTTGGTACATTCATTTTGAGACTCTTGAATAATAATAATACAATATTGTAGTTGAAATCGATTTAAGATTCCACCATTGTAATTTTTTGGTATTGAAATATATTAATTAAATGAATTAATTGATATAATCAAATAAAACATATAATTCATTCAACGTTCACTGAAAGGAGGTTAGCTTAGTTCTATGAAGAAATCCAATCAGAATTTCGTGATTTTTCATGGCAGTTCGAGAGGGCTTAACTTTCTTCCATACTGACCGGATAGGCCATAAAAAATTGAGGCCGGCAGTTTAGAATAAAGAAGCTGATTAATGATCGCAGCAGTAAATCAAATATATATTTTTTATTTAATAAAAAGTTGATGTAATAAAATATTTTATTTTACGTGTTTGCATTTTTACAAACTTAATAATTATAAGAATTAGGAATTTTTATTTTTATATTAATAACATTTATAATTACAGATATAACGTTTACATTTTATTCGAATTGATTCTCGGCAATATCAAATCGCGAAAATTTACTACCATAAACCAGATAATATAATTCATTCTCAATAATAATATTTAAATACATTAAAATAAGCAATTGTTCATAACAACGATATAAAATAGATTGCTCTAAAATAGAATTAATTTGTTGACAATATATGGAATATTATGAAATAGATAACTTTCGTCATTACTATGAGATCTGAAATACATTAGTTATAATAAATATCACAGACAGTAGGCCTATATCAAAATTAATTACATACTCATTAAATAAAAACATTAAGATATTCAAAACAGTTTTATAATTTGTATTGAACATTAAACAAATGAATAAAACAAAAAAATATACAAGTAAAAATTTACATATCAGCATATATTTATCTACAGTAAAAATATAACAATACCTTATTTAACATTCGCAGTCCAATAAAGTTTAAAAACTACAGTACTTACATTTTTAGCATATAAATGACTAACATAACTAAATTAAACTATTTAAAACTGATACTATATCTAAACTGTTAACCTTAACCATTTTTAAATGTCATTGATCTCTTTATAAAAAAATATATCAAGATACGTTTAATATATTAAATTTAAAAAAATAACTTAAACAAATCTGTATTATTAAACATTTATAAAAACTCTCAAAAGTACAAATTCGGATAAAGTTTTCTTCTCTTGATATTTCTATTACATTCAACAATCAATTTTATACCATTAATACCTAATATAGAATTTAAATTCATCCATTGACCTTATTTAAGATTTTTATAAATTTATTAATTAAAATGTTAACATAAGCAGGCTATATTAATAAAAATTGCAAATCATTTAATTGGTTTTGCATTCTTCATTAAAAAATTACTTTCATATTAATATATAAGATAAAAGTCTGATACTTAATCATATTAATTGGTACAATTACAACGTGTTTCAAAATAAATTTATCAAAAATGATTTTAAATAACTTGTTATAATTTAAAGATACAAAAGATGTATTTATACTAATTAACTTTTTTGTTATTTCTTTTTAGTTTTAAGAATACAAACAGTAGACTTGTTAGGTTTTGTTTTAAAACTGATATCAACCATCATTCATTAGGAACAAACTAATAGAATTTTTCATGAAAAGTGTTTTTAATATACATTAAGTCAAATGACACTGCTTCAAAATATGGTGCCTAAAGTCTTAAGTATGAAGTTTGATTTCTTGATATATAAATATACTTATACGAATAATGCTTATACATTATTAAAAACATTTGTTACGTAGATTATAAAAAAACAAATTAATAGAAATTATTTTTGGTAAATTCATTTTGGAATAACTTATTTAATAATTCAATGGTTAATATTAAAATTTATAATTTTATTGTCTATTTATTGTAGAAATATCAACTAAAACTTTATTAAAAAATTTAAACATTTCATTTAATTAAGTTGCAAGTTGTGAAAAAACCGTATTTATTTAATAAATAAAAACCTGCCTAATAAGTATCAAAGTACAGTATCTTTATCAGCTGTTGTAACTGTACTAAAAAATATGGAAAAGAATTCAGATTATATTTGTAATTTGATCTTGCAATAATGATATCTTGTTAGAAAATCTGACAATTTTAATTAAGTTGTTGTAAGGTATGCGGATGAGTACAAGCTATTTCAATTATATTTTAACATTATCTCATTTATTAATAATAATCTGTATTACTTGACCTTATTATTTCTGCTATTTAAATTCTCTTAAATAATTTTAGAAAATTGTTTAAAAGATTATTTGTTAAATATTCTCAAATCTGTTTATTTAAAAGAAGAGCTGCTGAAATTATTTAAACTATGTTATTATACTTGGAATTAAATTGTTTTTTTTTTCGTTTTTTTGTACCTAAATTGGCCAAATATATGAAAATAATATGGACGTTTATATAATTATAATAAGTACTGTTTAAAAGTATTGATAATAAAGAAATGTTCAATTGATAAATGTTTCTAAAATACTTTGAATTCGGTTTTATTCAAACTTTGATTACATATTATTTTTGATTAAGTTAATTATAAATAATTACATATTATTATATGATAAATTAGAGATAATTTTGTATGAACCTTTATGACATGTAGAATTACTTTTATAAAAAAAATAACAACACGCAATTCGAAAAAACTGAATGAATTTAAATGTTAAAAGAGAAATTTAATCGGCATGAGAAAAACAAGAGAGAAAGAGGGAAGAAACTGAACTGGTTTTTAACACGAAAATCTTGAGAAAGTGTATGGAAATAGGACAGTTTAAGAAGTAAGGATTTTTTACAATGAGAAAGAAAATGAAAATGGAAAAAGAAAACTAACAAAACAAGCAAAACAAAAACAAAACCAAAACCAAAAAAAAAAAAAATCGTCTTTAAACTCGAAATCATTAAATTCTATGGAAAGCAAGCACAGGGAAAATGTTTTAAGAAACAGATTTTAAATTTTGAAAATAAGAAAAAATTTCTAATTTAAATTTATAATATAGACTATATAGCCTATGTGGTTACTGAAGCAATTTTAGTGCTTTTGCAAGTAATTTTCAGACAAATAGAATGAATTAATCCATAAATGCGCGAGAACTACAGAAACAACTGTAATAAGAAACGATTGTAATCAAACTACTAAATTTTCAAAATTTTATTTCGAAACGTCCAACAGTGTATATCAAGTATTAAATGAATACTTGATCCACTGATTATATAAAAAGAATTAATAAAAACAAGTTTACAAACAGGAAATAGTTAACTGTGTTGTGTAACATTAAAGGTTTCCTTAAACAAATCATTAAACGTTAATTTGCGGACAATGGAATTCATGGATGAAAGCTCTTGCACATATTATTTGTTTCAACAACCTGAAACCAATAGGAAAATACCCGCACACTATACTTTTATGAAAGCTTTGATTAAAAAAAAAATCTACTGAAATATGGTTTAACAGATAGATAGAATTAAAGAAATTAATTTAATTTACATATATTTAAAATAACACCAAATTCAATTAATGAGCGCAAATCAATATTTCTAAATCGAGAATAATAATTGATTAACTTATATGTATATATGCTCTTTAGTTTGAAACGAAACACAGTAAACCATAAAAATATTTTATTTTCAAATTTAACCCGCGGTAAAATTTGAATACTTTTCAGGCAATATTTAAAAGTGTATTGTAATATTTATTACACATTCAGAGAATATTTGTTTAATAAAATGCCAGTTATATTACTTATTCGTTGATATTTCTATATTTACTAAAAAATATATCTTCTGACAGGAATAAATAATGCCAATTATTTGATGAATAAAGAAAAAAAATCGTCATCGTAATGTTTTTCTGCGATACTTTACAATTTATTTATACAACGAAATGGCTCGGTAGTCTTAATCGCAATACTGTATAATAAAATATCAGGCTAATAAGGCATAAAGGCATCTCCATTGCCATGTATTACCTTTATCTTACCGTTACATTCATGATAGAGATCGAAAATATTTTTATCCACGCTGTTATTCCATCCAGTATCTAATTGTCTATTCCATGTACAGTCTAAAACGTAGTATAATTCTGGATATTCCATTCCTGTTAAGGTATAGAAATCTTGATGACCTAAATATCCTTCAAAATAATATTTTTTGCACAGATATTCTATAGCAGTATGGTTGAGTAACGAATTATATAATTCGGATTGACGCATTTTCTTTAGATGAAAAAGAACAACTCCAGTATTGAAACCTTGTTTACCCGGTCTTGGAGCACCCACCGACGTTTGAGGATTTAATTTTCTATAAAATTGGAAATCTACACGATACTGGGGTTGCAAGTCGTTAGCTAATCCTATCACATTTGTAGGAGAAAACTTGTGAAAATGACGATGAAGATCGCCAATGTCAGCATTGAAAATCAAATCTAGATCGATCATAATAACTTTATCGATAGACAAGATGTGATGAATCAGTTCTGATATGAAAAATATGTCATCATTATAACGACCGACATCTTTGGTGAAGAAGAACTTCCTCATTATTTTGATAAAATCTTGTGACTTTTCTATAATGTTATTAATATCGTAAAAACTTATCTGCAATATAAAAAATAAATTTATTAAAATTAGTAAAATGTTAAATCATAAAAAAATAGAAACATTAAAATAATTCTAAGACTATATTATAAATAATTTATGAAAAAACTATTATACTTTTTCATAAAAAATTGAAAAATATTTTATTTAAAATTTAAATTAAGAAAGTTATTTTAAAAATTATTTTACTTTTTAAAATTTAACTCTTTATTTATTTTTATATCTATTTTCCGTCTAGCTATTTTT